AGTTTGTGCCTTGTCTGCCTCTTTTTGTGCTCGTATGTAACTCATTGTGAATTTGTAGTAAATTAGAGTAAAAGGCTTAAATTTGTTTCAGGATAAATCTCTTTAAGTTAGCTCCTGAGTTGTAGAGTTTGTTGTTACAAAGTTTTGTGCTTCCTTTGTAAACAATAAAGGAAGAATGAATAAGAAATCATGTTGGGTAACTCTAATAGACTGTAGAATGATCAAAAGGTGGGTGGCAATGGTAAATGAGCTGGATCTTTTGTGACCACAGGGTCTTTGAGTTCGAGATTTGGTATTTTCGGTGGCTCTAGAACTTTCTATGACCTAGATACTCGCATTTCAACTCTTGCACGCTGGTCATTCTTTATTTTGTTTGTTTTATTTTATTTTTTGATATTGTGGGTATCCAAACCTTTGGGCACCAATCATTCTTTATACAGTAGATTAACTTGCATATATTTCTCTCTTTATATTATTGGTAAAGGAGTTGATATTTTACTAGAAAATCAAAACAATGTCTTGTATATTGTACATGATAGGCTTAGCTTATTTCCTTCAATGGGAGTTTTCCATTTTTACCATATTTTTTTCCCTTTCTTTGTTTTTTCTTCAACTCACTTATGAAATTATTAATCTGAAGCTATCCTATAGAGCAACAACAAATGATCTTGGATCTTCTTATACTTTTTATTTCCTTTTCTCCTAAATGAATTTGTTTCTGGTCTATATGTATCTGTGTACACTGAAAGGCATAGCACCTTTGTTAAATAAAGAAGAAAAAAAATGAATTTCTTACTTTTTGTCATTGCAAAATTTTGAGTATTAGGTGATATGTTAAACCCAAGTATGCCTGGGTGATTATTGTAGATATTTTGCTTTCATGCAATGGAAAAGCTAGCCTTTTTTGAAAAAAAAGAAAAGAAAAGAAAAACGAACATAAAAGATAGAAAGAAATCATAATCACTGAATTTTTCCTGAATGATCCTAGGTTGCTATTTTGCTTCTTACTGAGATCACTCCAAAAAGTATAGCTGTTCACAATCCCACAGAGGTGGCTAGATTTGTGGTAAGTTTTCTATTTAAGTTTCCATTTTCTTCTTGAACTTGCAACTAAAACTTTGCTGAAAAACTTTAACTTTCTCTTCTGGAGTTTGGTGAACGTTGACATTTTAAAAGATGAGAGAAAACAAAGCAATAAAAAAACCTGGTGATGTAGCTGTTGTGCATTTGAACTTAAATTGTTACATTGCATACTAAGTGTCTCATTTTAGTGAAGAGATGATTAGGAAAGTCTATAAATAATTTAAACCATGTCAGTTGAGAATTGTTGCATGTGCGGGGCAACATAGTTTTGGCTATTGGAATATGAGGGTAGATCTTCAGCCGCTAATGTTGAACTGAACATCAAGTTTGTTGTAGGACACTTAATATTTAGAGTTGATGAAAGCTCGGGGAAAATAAATATAATTTTGATTTATTTTAGTAGTTGTATGGTTTTTGACTATTGTTTTTGCTTAATGGTAATCATTTCTAAGGTAATTGCACATTTTACCCTCTGCATCTCAAATAAATTCCTTATAATTATTGTTGTTCTCTATCTTCTC